ATTGGCTAAAATAGGTTTTTATCAGCTAAATAAGAAAAAATCAGTCAACTGGTTTAATACTTTTGTACTACTTTTCAAGATTAATATTGCACAAAATCTTACAAAACTACGACTATTGTCTTTAGCCTTGGTTGGTAACCAATCTAGAAGAACAACTCTGAATGCAAACACAATTCAAAATGCCCCAAAAGTTTTTTATATACATAACTTTTCTTTTAATTCAGATTCGCCATATATACATAACTTTTCTTTTAATTCAGATTCGCCATTTAGGCCATTGTTTTAAAATAGAACCGAAATTAAATCAAAAGAACAGAAGGCATTTAAAATATTTAAAATGCGATTTTAATTTTCGTTTTTTTTTAGAAAGTCCGTGTCTGTACCCAGCATTTTTAAAACATTAACATATTTTGTAAGTCACTCATCGAGCCGCTATTGTATACGAAAAATATAAACAACAAATTTAAAATTCTCTTTAAAATCCAATATTTGTCCTAGAGATGTTTCGAAAACTGTTATTAAATTTAAGACTTAATTAATTGGATTTTTCTAAAAGTAATACATACCATTTGCTTAAAACAGAATGAAAATAACTTTTTATTTATACACGGTAGCCTGTGATGTCAAAGAACAAAATAGAAAGACTGTAAATCTACCCTTGTCCGAAAAAGTGCGCGAACAATAAGACTAAAACCTAAAGAAATACGGAAGACTAACAGTGCAATAATCAAGAATCTTATTTATGCTTAAAAATAAATTTTCTTTAACGAATATTTTAAGAATATAATTTATTATTTTATACGCTTTTATTAAACTTAGTATAATGAATAAATTTGAAGGCGTTAAAACAAAAACCATGGCGTGAATGTAATTTATGAAAAGAAAAACATTTATTCTAAGAGTAAATTTTATAAAAAATTACAGTAAAATATTCTTTTATGCGAATGAAATAGTTTCGTCATAATTCTAAACATTTCTGTGGCAACGGGAACAAATTATGAAGGGAAAATAACAGATTTGTTTTAAAATAATAAAAACTTAAATATTGGGAATTGGAATGGACCCCATATAAGATTTCCACGTGACAGATACAGACGTAGTAATAATAAAAGAATTGAACACAACTGAATTATTTGTACAAATTATATTAATCAACATTACAAATGAGTCCTTGCAAACTTAAGGTTGTAGTGAATCCCCTGTAGGGGGCGCGGTATAACATGGCCAGTGTGCCCCAATAAAGATAGTCTCAGGAGGCCCGCTAACGTTTATAAATTAAGAGACGGGAATCTGACAGGTCAACAAGAGGACAACAAACGATAAACTTAAAATTAATACATAAATTATTTACATCGTATACAAAAGTATGTCCTTTGGATTAAAGGAACATGAACAAACATTGAATCAAGTAATAGAGGCAGAATTAAGTAATATGAGGAATACTGACCGGATAGAAGATCTAGATAATATAACTGTGACTAAATGTTAAAAGTAGAGTCCTTGTAGGTTAAGTTGGCATGTAAATCCACAGTTTGAAAGTTCAGTTCACATGATGGGAAAGCCCAACCAGCGTCCAGTTGGCAGAACAAAAATGAATGGGCACGTAACTCAATACATAAACCGTCCAAGCGCCCTGGTCACAATGTGACGCAAGACTGCAAGTGGGGATTGCATGTGTAGCGTATGTACCAAATATAGCGCCGGGTCGATTCACTAAATGTAGCAGGAACACCAAATATATAGGTACGACTACTATTTATATTAATGATTCTTCGACGTACAGGATTCAAGAAATAATAACAACTCCAATTTGTTAACCAACAAATATATATTGAATAAAATACATGAAATAAAATCGTATTCACAATGTAGATTAAAGAGAAGGAAGTTCTTTCCCTTTGACTATAGATTGATTGTAATCAACTGTTTGAAGAAATGTTCCGAAATAATTGTTAGAGCAAAGTTTGCATGTGAAGAATGAATAACACCAAGAATACAATTGCTTGAAATGTGTTGTGAATAAACTGGTTTGAATCAACAAAGTTCTGGTTGATCGTGTGTGCGTTAGAGTGTGATGAGCAAGATCGTGGATTTGTATTGACGGCTGGGATCTTACTGGATCTTACTGGCGACTTGCGAAAACATGGCAACGGCTATACATGTTTGTAACTTTTAAATTTTAATTAGTCTCGATGCATAACATTTTTTTTAATAAAAAAATGAACAAAAAATAAAAACAAGAAAAGATTTTTAAACCCAACTGTACAGATTATTAAAAAAATAATTAGTTATCAAATTCTAACGACATTTATTTATTTTTTATACGGTGATTCAAAAATTTGACGAAAAATTCGATTTAGTTATTAAATTAAAAACATACTTATTTATTATAACTCATTTTTATTTATTTATTTTAAAATAAAAATGTAAAACAAACTCATTGCATAATTTAATTTCTCCTATGATTATGATTTCTTATAAAAAAACCCAAAAAAACACCGTCGTTTGTCACTTTGAATTGAAATTATGTCTTGGACTTGTGACAACTTTTATCTTTCTGAACAACTGACTTTATTTTCTTTTGAGCTGTAACATTTTTTTCTCACTGAATAAATTACTCAAATTTCAGTTTCAGTGATTTTTTACACTTTCAAAACCCATCTTTGTTCCTTCCAGAAATGTACAATTTTTTATGCATTTCAACACAAACTATTTAAAAATAGCATAAAAACTGTGTAGCTGAAATACCCAACCACATTGTAAATGCTGCTTGGGTTTATGCGTTGAGGTCATCAAATGTAATTGCGTGTTCTAAGAGCATTTTATCTATTATGCATTTAATGATTCAAGAAAAAACAAAAAAAAACCCCCCAAAAACAACGAGACTCCAAATGTGCATCAACAATAAAATATATATTGAAACAGTAACATACAAAACAATCATGCAATGGTGTGTCGTAATTAAGGGAGAAAAAGTTGCTTCCCTTCAATTGTATTGTTTGCAAGGGTCTCTATTGAGAGGGGGTGAGGGATGAGCAGAAGATTTTTCTGGTGAATGTTGAGCAGAAGATGTGGAAGGAGTGACTTTTTTTTAACAGGGGAGGTCTTTTTATGACTAAGGCCCCTACAGAGAGGGGTTAAGGGTTGAGAATGTGGGGCAGGGATGGTGGAGAGTGTGGCCTGTTTAGTTGAAGAGGTCTTTTGTTTATCTAATTTTTGTTTTAATTGTTTGATTTTCTCTATCTTTTCGAAGGATGGGTCGTACTTCTGTAATTCTCCTTGGGTAAGTTTAGTGGCCGAGGCATCGCCCTTAATGCTGACAGAGGCAGTGGGACTGTCAGTGTCTTTCGTCACGGGGGCTTCAGGGGAATGAACATTATGTTTAACAGTATGTCAAAACTCCATCCCTCAGTCAAGCTATCGCAGGAATCACCTAGTATTTCGCCATACTGCGACAATAAAGCCGCCAGGTGTTCCCCGATAACTAAAGGCGGGACCTCGTATATTGCTCAGCTGGTCCTTCTCCTTCCTTCATACTTGTTTCGCAGAATTATATCTTTTGTTATTATCTCTCTGCTTGTTGCTTTGCGTATTGCTACCCACGCCGAAGATTGCTTCGGCGTGGGTAGCAATACGTCCCACATAAAAAGCCCGAGCCCTTAACAATTCTTAGTGGCTTAAACCCATGGGACTCAAGTGTTTTTACCACTGTGTCTTTCGTCGAACGACAAATTTTGCGTGAACGCTTGTCGACGACCAAGGCTGATACTATTCTTTTCTAGATCTTCTTTAGTTCTACCTTCCACGGCATGTGTGCGTAACTCTTGGAACGCTCCAAGAACTCCGCTATATCGATAATGCATTTTAGAGGGGTCTTCCAACAACAAGGCGAATCTCCGGCCTCCACGTTATTTTTTGTCTTGTTATCATATGTTTGGCCGATATTGGCCTTCATGTTTTTTGCTGCTGAGTTTTGGCCATTATTAGCCTCCATATTTTTAGATACAGATTTTTGGCCATTATTGGCCACCGTATTTTTTTTTTTTAGTTTAGGCATTATTGGCCTCTAAACTTTTTTTGATTTGGTCTTGGCCATTATTGGTCTTGTCATGGCTACCAACGGGCTCCTCATTAACGGGAGCTAATGCCGGGTATTCTTCGGTATTGTCATTAGGGGGGGTTTTTTTAATGGAAATTAAATGTTTCTTGACTGACCTCCTAAAGTCGGCCACTTTCGTTTTTTTTTTTAATGATTAAAAAGGAGGGGATTCTTTTCTTTTCCATTTTCAAGGGAAGGGGAGGGGTGATGAATAGGAAAAATGGTTAAGTTTTGCTTATCGGCGAGAAAAAAATTGAAAAACAGACAAATAATTAAATTAAAAAAAACAAGGTTCGCTTAAGGGCGGAACAAAAAATTTAAATAGTCAAACGAACAAAAGCAAAAACAAAAAGACGTACAAGAATTAGACGACAGACGAGAAAAATTAAAACAATATAAACAAGTTTCGCCCGTAAGCGAGACTACAAAAGACAACAAACACAAAACAGAAGGACGTACAAAAGCTTAAATAGACAAACAAAGAAACAAGGTTCACCTAAAGGCGAAACAAATTTAAACACACAAAAGGAAAACGCAAGACAAAAGGACGTACGACAGACGAGAACAAATGGACACGGTTCGCCTAAAGGCGCAACAACAAATTTAAAACAATCACAAAACAGAACAACGTACAAGACGGCAGACGAGAAAGCAACAAATTAGACAATAAAACGAAGCGTTATACAAGGAAAAGTAAGAAAACGCTATACAAATAAAATACGAAACGATAAATGTAACAATTTACAATATGGCCGCCGATAAAAAAAACGGTCAACCCTAAAGCAAAACGATAAACAAGGAAAGTAGAAAAATGGACAGAATATACAAAATAAACACAAAATTTAGAAACAAATATATTACCGAAGAAATTAACAAATAAAATACAGAACATTACAGATATTTAAAAAGAAAAAACACAGAAACAAGCTAACACGTAATAATAAAACAAAGAAAAATAATGTCGAACGGAAAACGTAGAAAGAAAAATAAACAGATAAACTCTGAGAAGTGGGTACGGGAAGAAAATAGATTTAAAAAGGAAAATAAACTGTAAGAGAAAATCAAAAATTAAACAATAAAAGAATAATAGCAAAATAAGGTAAAAATAAAAATGGGGAGGGTAAGGAATTGAAAAGGAAAAAATCAAAAATTTACAAAACAGTCAAAAAGAACGTAAGAAAAAAACGATAAAAATAAATCAAAACATAGCAGAAAAAACAGCCGTTAGCGGTTCTAAAAGATTCTCAGAGATACAAAAAAGGTCTAACAAGGTCTATGCAAAGTAAAAAAGAGAACGAGGCAATAAATCGCCCAGTATTTATAGTGTAGGGAGAGCGACCCCCTAGTGAACAATTAGGAAATTAAGGATGAGTTAACTTCGACAATTCCGATATTTTCGATACTCGATTCCGGTTAGTCGACCCATCACTAAAAATTACTCTGATAAATGGAACAGAGAATAAACACGTATTTAAGTTTTATTGCGTTATCGGTGTAATACCGGAAGTAAGTTTCTATACTTCTCCATACAAATATTGTAATTGCTTCGAAATATTTAAAACGTATCCAAAAATGTAAATATAAAAGGAAAATGATAAGTGCCGTGACTGGCCTACACCTTTTTTAAACAGGTGATAAAATATTTCCTTAATCTTAGGTGGACATTATCGTTTAGGTTGAAAATCATTACTCTGTGGACTCTTCTAATTTTCTAACCTTCTCCAACCTTAAAAAAAGCATAATCCATATTATACGCCTACGCGCAGATAACGCTCAACCAATAAAAATGCAAAGAATCGAATCAAGCAATTCTATTGGTAGATCGCCTCCCAAAGCAAGAATTGCGCCAAAATATCTTGAGCCACTTTCGAAAACCCAAAAGGTTATAAAAAAGGAGAAAAGACAACCCCAGTCAGTCAGTCCAGCTCACTTTTTGAGCGACTGCACGGTTCAACTCTCTGTCTCCGGACGGAGAGGAACCCGAAGGAGGCTACGCCGAAGGGCGAAGTCTCCTTCGGGAGGTTAAACTGGCCCTGAACCCGTTTATACGGGTTCAAATGGGCTATTTTTTTGGCTGAGCCTAATGGCTCGGGAATGCCCACATTAAAAAAGGCGTTTGTGCCGCATGACACCCTCGTGGGTGGGTGACTGAATATCTCAGTCCAGCTCACTTTCTGAGCGACTGCACGGTTCAACTCTCTGTCTCCGGACGGAGAGGAACCCGAAGGAGGCTACGCCGAAGGGCGAAGTCTCCTTCGGGAGGTTAAACTCGGCCCTGAACCCGTTTATACGGGTTCAAATGTTTTATTTTTGGCTGAGCCTAATGGCTCGGGAATGCCCACATTAAAAAAGGCCTTGTGCCGCATGACACCCTCGTGGGTGGGTGACTGAATATCTCAGTCTAGCGAACTCGCCGATCGATTGCCTAATTAATCCACGACATTCAAAAACAGAATTTTACCGCGCATTTTTGACGAACTTCAACTGACTCACCTGAAACACTCAACGAACAACTATCGAAACTTTGAACAATATTTCTTATACACATTGGTTTATTCATTACTAAAAAAGAAATACGAATCACGAAAACAAACACAGACACGTTCAAAGGTAGACTACTTTAGCAAACTTTACCAAAAACTCTTATTATATATTTCAACACAAACACAAAATAACAAACATAACGACACAGAGACATCCAACATTTCAGCAACATATACAATTAACGCACGCAACAATACAAATATTAACCTTGTTTGTAAATATGTAATTGTATATAAATGTTTTATTTGTTTCGATCTATAAATGAGATATTTTTACTTTGTTTGAAATCTCATGTTTGTTATATATTTGTTTGGGACAAGGTTTAGACACACAACCGATCCGAACAAAATCCTTCTGATTAATTAAATGAACCAAAAGTCCCAACAACTCTACATAAAGACATTTATTTAAAAGTCTTTGTGCTTTTCTTGATTATCGTTAAATGAAATTGCCGTTCCGTTAGGAAAAAGAAATTGCTTGAAAATTTAAATTTTTCTCTTAATGGAGTTTTACATATAACAATTTTATTGTCATTAATGATTACCGAACCACCGACAATCCGTTTCTTCCTAATGTTCAATGTATTTAAAATTATATCAATTTCTTTTATTTATATTAAATCATTTACAATACCTTCATATTATACATATAACAACCTTATTGTCAGTAACGATTGTCTGAACATAGCCTTCTTCCTGACACATTATTAATAGTAAACCCACTAGCAATGCTTTTTATATTAAAATTAATATCAATGACATTATATTATGTATACAATATTTCCCAACTACTAACAATACCTTTCTTCCTGATGTTCAGTGTGAAATCACTTGCAGTATATTTACATTACTCATATCATAACTTTATTGTTTGTTGCTTTTGTTACTAACCACAGTTAACCACATCATTTCTGACTTTTAATGCACGCCATACATGAATAATTTTGAAACCAAATCATACAGGTTATGATTTATACAAAACTATTAACAATATATTCATTATATCTTTTTAAACGCACGCGGATTCAAGTTCATCCTCGTTAGGACACTGTCTCTTTCAATTCGGGTTCTCTATCTTTGAAATATGGATATTCTTGGCATCTGCTTGTTTCCTTTGCATGCTTTTAGTATTTCTTGCGTCACTCTATATTGTCGTGTTTCTTACACTAAACCAGATATTGACTGCTCGGCGACCAAAGGCAGAATGCGAAAACGGGTCTCTGCGCATCATGGGTCGATGCATGCTTTCGGTATTGAATGATAAAATGAACTTTATATAGTGACCAGTAGAAATAACTCCCGCTAAAAGAAACAGACTGTGATTTGGAGCCAATACGACGGATATAAATTGCTTGATTCAACGCCGCAGAAGACAGAGGGAGAGTGATCCGAGTGAGATATCGACATGCAGACGTTGGTCAAAAACGCCGCAGGCAGACTGAGACTGAAAACGATAGCTTTGAACATTCATCTTTTCGCCGCCATCTTCACAAAACATCAGCCTACAGCCATGACCAACATTTTTCCTCTTTCTTTCTTCCTCCCCCACTCTGTCGCCTTTTGCAACAGCAACAAGTAGTATGATGGCTTTGTATAGATGTAAATAAATTATACATTTATTTACCCAAAATACGACGTATTCCTTTTTCCTCGAATTTACGTTTGCTAAGGCGAAGAAGAAATTAACCTCTTCAACAGAAACAACAACAGCGAAAAGTTCTGCCTTCCAAGTTACTCATTCTTCGTTTCCGCAACAATATGTAACCACGGATGCATTTATTGAATAAATCCTACATTCAACTTTTTGCTATAATAAAAGAGTTTGTAATGCATTCCTATAATAAAATCATTTCCAACGTATTTATGCTTTTAGCATTTGCTGAAGTCACTCTGTATGTAACCGTAAGAGTGAATAAAATCTTGGACGTACAGGATGCAACTAGTAAATTGTCGCCATTTTATATTTTTAATTTCGCGCATGCACGTTGTTTGTTTGTGATTTTGTCGACTGCCCAGTATGGTAGGGTCAGTTGGGCACCGTCTGTGAGAAAAAGAGCAACATGACGCAATTCACTGCGTCAGAGATTTGGAAACGGCATGCTCTACCGCTTGGCATTCGCATCGGAAGCTCCAATACGAACATTTCAGTGTTTGGGTGTCAATCTGAGGACAGTGCAGAGAATTCGGAAAGAGTTGGATGAGTCTAATGTTGATTATGAAGGTGTTTGAAGTGATGACTAGTGATGGCGACGTTATGCTTCCATTCATTTTCTCACAAGGCCTCAGACTCAACACGGAGGCTTACATCAAGTGCCTTGAGGAGGTAGTGCTGTCCTCGGTCAAGAGGGTGGCTGCTGCAAGACCCTATGTCCGGCAACAGAACTCTGTACTATGCCACACAAGCAGGAGAACACAATCATGGCTGTCAGACGATCTCTGCAACCACATCACGCCTTACATGTGCCCACCTAACTCATCAGACAAGCAACCCCCTTGATTATTATGTGTGGGGCAACGAAACTTCCTATAACACCAAAGATGAACTGAAGGCAACGATTATGGAAGCATTCACCAACTAAAACAAGGAGACCGCCCAGAAGAGTTACAGAAGAGTCCGAAGTTGTCTTGAGGCCGTGGTTGACGCCAATGGCAATTTTATTGAATAAATTTACTCTTTAGCATTTCTAGATATTTGTGTGTAAATTTGGTAAATATATCTGCAAAAATGAGATATCAGTGTTAATTTTTATTTTTGCGAAATTCAAACTGACAATTCATCCATCGCACTCTGTATTTCTCAAATAGATCTTACCGTCAACCTTTTCTGTTTTATGATTATCGTTAAATCAAATTACCATTCCGTTTAGAAAAAAAGGAAAAGCTTAAATTTTTTTTTTTAATGGAGTTATTCTTTGTTGCCTCGGTTGTTTTGTAAAAATTAAAATTCAAAATTATCTTAATTTATTTTAATTAATTTATTCATTGGATTATGAACAAATAATTAAATTAAAAATATTTTTCTTTCTTTGAAAGAAATACAAAAGGATAAACAAGAGACAATTAAAACACATTAGATATTAAACAAAATTTCTCTGTTAAATTTAATAACAGACTAGATCTGTCGTTCGCTTTCGGCGCATATGACCATAAAATTGAAACTCCAGATTTTGCAGTCTTTGTCCAAGAGGACTTTCCACTTGTGCCCCATAGGCACCGGAACTAGTGTTGGGAACTTCTTCGGAAAACATGTTCAGCTTTTCTGGAAGTTCTTTTTCTGTTTTTATTTCGCCCTGGAAGAAAAAGAAACAAACAAAAATACTTAGAAATTAAGGATGAGGTTCGTCAGACAGTCTTATTCGCGTTAACGACCCCTACTCTAGACCTATGGCTGCAGTGATGGGTTACATGACTCGTGAATTGGTCACAATGCACGTAATACTTACACTCTACGGTGCCAAGAAAAGGTCTCCCACTGCACGTTAAATGTTGGAGTTTTTTCAATACTACTGGAACGTATTAAGACTCCCTAGCTTATTAATCTCTGACTATCAATAGATTGCTGGAAAATTCTGTTTTAAAATGTGCTATAGTGCATTGTAAACTTTATTTTAGTAAAAGAACTCATGCGTTCGTTTTATTTAAACTAAAAACTTTATAAGCACAACAGCAAATGACTTGTTTTTAATCATTTCCAAAACACTCAATATATCAACAACAAATATTGGAACGTTTATTTGCTACAGCGAATAATTTGCCAATTTGAATAACATATTGGAGGACAAATAGACCTTTATTAGGCATGGAAGTCGGCTGTTAGTTTTTGTTTCAAAAATATGAATCAATTGCTTCTTCTGCTATTAGGAAAGTTGCTTCACTGTATTGTGCTAAACAATTTTCTCTCCAGAATTTATCTTACGTATTCATAAGTCGACCATTCATCCCTGCTTTGTACATTGCTGCCACATATAGTATGGTGTTTCTTCTGTATATTTAGGGATTCTTGATAAAATCCAAAGAAGAATCTGCAATGTTATTGGTCCTGACGTGTCATCCCGACTTCAGTCATTTTCTCTCCGCCGTAATATAGCTTCCCTTTTCTATAAATACTTTCATGGGAATTGTTCCGATAAACTTTCCTCTACTTTATGAATTTAAGCGCAGTACTAGATTAGCAATAAGGACTCATATTTTTACAGTTGTAATGGCTAGCTGTAATCGTAAATTTTTTGTGAGTAGTTTCTTTTCTCGCACATCTCGTTCGTGGAAATCTCTTCCGACTTCTTGCTTTCCAGCCAACTTTGACCTTCAAAAATGTATTATGCAATGTCAATCGTAATCTACCGTCTTCTTGGTTCTTCTTCTTTTATTGTTCTCACTCCTTAATAATGTTTTTCTTTTTCTTATTCTTTCACACTCAGTAACCCTTTGTGTCTTAGTGGCTTTATTGCCTTGCAAAAAAAAAAAAAAACAACGTTTGTCCTCACGTTGCAAATATGACGCTGCTAATGATCCCGAAACTGAAATAGGACATACTTTTATACACAGCATATTCCCTACACCTGCCGGCCTCAAGATTGTCACTTTTTCCCTCCATGCAGCATTCATTGACTTTTCAGCAAGTTGATGATGTCGATAAATTATTTGAATAATTCATCGATCAATTGTTTATTTATGATGATATATATAATGAAACCGAAAAATATTGGACACAGATGAAGTAAAAGAAAATAATAGTTTCTGTTATTGCTCCGAACTCAAAACTTGGGATGAATATAGTAAATCCTAAAAGGCTTACGACCATATCACGTTGAAAACACAAGTTCCTGTACGTTAACCGAAGTTAAGCAACGTTGAGTCTGGTAAATACCTAGATGGGGAACTGCTTGGTAAATACCTAGATGGGGAATACTGGGTGTTGTAAGCCTGGATGTGCGGGTGGTGTAATGGATAACAACTCGGAATTGTTAATCGAAAAGCCGAGTTCCAATTCCAGTTGGGTTCGTTATATTCACTTACTCGCAAATAACCTCGGGAAAGATATGCATATACCTCTTCTCCCCCAGCTATGGATTAATTAGTAAGACTACTATCACTAAATCATTATATTCTCCCCCAGCTATGGATTAATTAGTAAGACTTGTATCACTAAATCATTATCATTTTTTTTTAAATTTTATAATCTAAAAATATTTTCTAGCTTTAAATAACATGTAAGTGTTGATAAGCCGTAAAAAAATCAATCAATCAAATACTAAAGATATATTATGCATAAGAAGAAATAAAGAAACGTTTGCCTATACATAAATAGAAGAAATGTGATTGTAAATATTAACAGAGAAAAATTGCAAACGTAGAATTAATATAGCAAAGATGAAACTCTATGGAAGAAGTAGACGATTTTATCAGAAAAGCAAAGGTTTGAAATATTCTCGATCTGCAGCCTATATCGATCAACATTACTGCTTGCATTGAAAAGGAAGGTACAAATATAAGAGCAAGCTGTTATCGAACAGTACTATGCAAACCTGTATACTTGGAAAAACAAATATCACCAACAGTTGATGTTCCTGAAGTAACAACAGAAGAAATGAGGTTTTCGTTTCAAAATGTGAAACACGAAAAAGTACCAGGCGAAGATTATTTTGCAACAGACCCTTTGAAAGTTGCAAGAGAAGAATTCTATTTACCCAGTGTATACGAAAAATAGAAATGCCCCGAAACTTGTTTAAGAAGGGTGATCCGACATTATAAAAAGGAGATAATAAAGATCTATCATCCTATCATCTTACTTTCAAACATATATAAATTATTCTTAAAAGTACTTAGGGACCAGCAAATATCCCAGATGAAAACAAGCTACGTTAATAGATTTTACGAATGGCTGCTGAAAAATAGACCATCTACAAACAATAGATCAACAAACAACAGAATATAACAAACACTTTGTTGATTATGAGAAGGTATTTGACTCGGTAGGACACTCAGCAGTTTTTAAGTCACTACAAAAACTATATAAGTTACTGAGAATATATACGCGAACATTACTGTAATAATTTGCTTACACAAAGGCACAGATAAAATGAAGATTGGTAAAGGCGTAAAGCAATGGGACTTCAATTATTTATAGAAAATGAACTGAGGAATGTGAGTAGACATACATAAAAAATATTGAAATCATTTACCATTTGATGATGTCACTTTACTTATATCAGAACCATTTGATGAATTACAAGAAAGGCTAAAAGACCTAAATACGAGAAGTTACAGTATTCAGTATATATTTAATAAGAAAAAGAAATAAAACAAACGTAACATTCAGTTATAACACCCCCCCACTCTCAAAAAAGAAAGAAATATTATAAACATTCAAGATGAAGAACTGGAATATATCCAAGAATACATACATTTAAGACAGGTGATAACGTTAAAGAAAGATCATAGAAATGAAATAATGATGATAGCATGGAAAGTATTTAAAAATTCGAAATATAATGAAAACCATTTTAGCAATCTAATTTAAACGTAAAGTCAATAATGAATGCATAATGCCAGCTATGACGGACGGGTGCGAAACATGGAAATTAAGAAAGTCGTTTGAAAATAAAGTAAAAAAAATGCACAAAGATGAAATTAAATTAAAAAAATAATACTTGGAATAACTCTAAGAAAAAAAGAAAGAGGTCAACTAAGACCAGGGAACAGACCGAGGTAAAAGGTATAGATGCGATCAAACGATAAAAACAGAAGAGGACATCTAGTGCTCTTCTGTTTTAGAAACAGTTTTCATAGAACAAAAAGAAAAAATAACAGATGGAGCAAAAGGTTGCTTGATTGGTGTCTAATGGATAGAAAAAGAAGTATAGATGATACAATAGAGACGTTTCCTGATAAGACATGCTACAGAATAGCATAACAATAAGTCGCCAGGGAAATATTTAGAAAAGATCTTTGTCCTACTCTAGGATAACAATGGCTGCTACTAATAATTTTTTTACCTTTTTTTTTTATTGCCATGTCTCTTCGGAATATAAGCGATCAGAGCTCACCACACATTCATTTTCTTTAATATCTCTGAATTGCCATGATTTTTTTCATAATGGTAGTAGTTTGTTTTTCTGCACAATTTGGAATTTAGAGTTGTCCTTCTAAACGATCGGCTACTAATCAAGGCTTAGACAACCCAGATTGTTCTGCTATTTAACCCATAGCTTAGTTTAGATTAGTATAGTACACAGCTAAATTTTTGCAGGAAGATTGTATTGCGCCATTTTTTCAAGTGAGTTGAGTATGTTTGTCTTGAAAATCTTGGTTTTCATCTCGGTTCCAATATTTTTATTCGCACGGGTGGGTAATGCATGACATTCCCAAGACAGTCCTCATAAATACTTACTGCGATTAGTTTGTTTGGCACAAGGTAGGATATCCAGTAAGAATCGGACTCACTAATGTAGTAATGGTCTATGTTTAGCTTGTTAGCCACTACTCCACGGTGAGGCGATGGAATAGGTATTTAATTAGCTTTCCTCTGTTTGACACAAAACTACAAGTGTGTGGCACCTAATGGAGATTATAATAGTGTTTGCAAGTCTAGTTTGCTAATTACTACTCCATGGTGAGAAGCTCAGGATGTTGGATATTAGGATGGGAAATTAATTTCGGAAGTTTCATGAAGGAATAAGATTGCAAATTCACACGTATTTTCAGTTTTTATCTTTTTCACCATCTTTATCTGAACTGTTTTCCCTTCTTTACCACATTCTCCCTCTTTCTCATTATCCTTGCTTGCGTTTCTCACATTTCATTATGATTATTATCTCTCTCTTTGTCCGAATACTCGTTTTTATGTCTTTTCCTTTTTCTTCCTTTCTTTTCTTTCTTTCTCAACGTTTATTTTTCATTCTTTTCTTCTTTTCCAACTCAATTTGTTTTCTACCCCTTTTCTTTCTGTTTGCATTCTTTTTCTTATTATTAATTATTTCCTCTTCTTTGTCGTTTTCTTTTGTTCGCATATCTTTTTTTATTCTTTGCTTACGTTTTCCTCAAAATCTCTTTATTCTTTTCCTGTCCGCCATCTTACTTCCTTATCGCCGTAAATAAATCAATCAACTTCTGCAATTAGCGTAAAATGAAATGCAAAAGCATCAACATAATAAAACTCATTACATCAAAAAAGAAGAAGAAGAAAAAAAACGGAAGAGGAAAAAAGAAGGTTTACAGGCATCGGCTTGGAACATCTCATTCAGTCCGAACCACTCCGTACAGAAAGGCAAACAAGCTAAGCAAGTCTTAT